AACGTTGTAGGTTAATGAAGATTTTGACAAACTGTCGCAGAGCTTAGCTTCCCTTTTTATTTATTTATTTATTTTTTTCACCTCATGTGCTTTCCTATTCCTTTTCGCACAGACACAGTGGTTGCTAGTTCCTCTGCTGGAGAGAAAAATTCTTATCTCATCGGATGTTCACGACTTGTGCGACGAAAGTGAAAATGTTCAGTCCACGCTCACAAATCACCAGAAAGTGATCGTGTTTTCGTCGACACTGATTGTTAAGACGCTTTCGAATTCCGATGAGACATCGAGCCGAACGAGTGACGTCATAACAACGGAAAGTTTAATCTGCTTGTGGTTGGAGACGAGCTGGGTCCGACATTGGTGTACGTGTGTCTTGGGAAGTAGTGACGTCACTGAGGTAGAGTAACTCTCGGATCGTGATTTAAGAGTTTCAAACCATAGGGCGTGCACAGAAAAGTTAAAGTCATTTATATTTTAAATTTTGACTTCCAAAAAGTTAACCGTTTTTAATAACGTTTTCCATGAGCGGTTACCGATGATGGTTTTTTTATGTTGCCTTACTTTCTTGGAAAACCCGCTATACATTTAAATCGTACAAAGTGCAGTCTAGGTGCATGTGGCATACATGTAAGCTTCATCTTATGGAAACTTAACCAGCCTTGTTGGTTTTTGTTTGTTTTTTTTTTTTTTTTCCCAAAGGAACTTGTTGCGTTTAGAAACAACCGTGACCAAATTATGGCTAATGTTCTCGTGAATCTAAACCACTCAAGTAGCCGTCTTCTGCAACAAATAAAGGAGAACCAGTGGAGTGGATCTCTTATTTCAGAAGCCCTCAGGCGTTCAAGAAGCGAGGGTTTTTTGTGGTGTCTTGTTTTGGATGGCGTGTTAAGAGACCTTCGGCAGCTTGGTGTGCCTAGCGATATTGCAGTCCTGTTGGCCGAGGTTCAATCTTTGGCATCATTAGAAGAAAAACAATGCCAGACTTTGAACACTTTATTATCTCATGTGGATGGGATATATGAGCTAAAAGTCACCCCTGAACAGTTTATCGCCCTCATGCTCGAAGATAGCGATGAGAATGGTAAGCCATTGACACGTGGGCCTTTGTCTTGTCGCTGTCAGAGTTACTCAATCTGTTGCAATGTGGTTTTGTGTCTAACTTTTGATAGACACTCGCACAGTGTCCTTCGTTCATGAAGATTGCAACCAAAATTCAAAGCCTATGCATAAACTTAGCACGAGCGCGCTTCGTAATTCGGTGGTAGATTAACCGCTATGTTTATGGTAAAGGCCTTAAAGTTCACTCAAGTAACTTTCGTAATTTAAATAGTTTTCAGAACAAAAGGGTTTTAATAGTCGCCTATTAGGGTCCCCTTTGAACAAGGCTCAACTTTGGTGACCTCTTTTTGCAAAAGTCTGATGAACAACCGAGTACGAATCCCCTCGGACAGGACTTTAAAACTTCGGACAAAGCCAGCAAAAATTGAGTGAGCTCCGATTTTTTGCGCTTGGCAAAATCAAAGCGGTTCAAATTTCGTGACTTGTCACCCGTCGGTCAGTGCTGTAATTGCGTTTCAAACTTCTTGACTCAGCCATTTTATTGTCTTGTATTTTTACTGATTAATCGTAAATATTATATGACACGGTAATCTTGACGTAAATCCGAGCGTTCTGATTCAGATTGGATCCTGCTTGGGTAGGATTTTGCCAACGGACCATTTCTACAGAAATGGTCACAAGTCATGTATTTTTCTTCGCGAAAGCTGGCAAATTCAAAATAAACAAGTTTGATCCGAGTACCATGAAATAAACTACTAACGAACCTCGCTTTCTCGA